AGAGAGGGTATAAAAAGGGGGGCTCAGGCTACGTGCGGCGCGGTGCCTAGGTGTTGGTGGGTGCAACCCACCTAGCTGGTGTCCTAGGTGCGGCAGGCCACCCGCCTAGCCCGCCCAGCGCTGYTTTTTGACTAGTATCTGGTTAGTATCTGTTCTTTTGTTAATGTTTTAATTAATAAATTGTTAATTGGCTTCTAACCTCCGATTGGCTCTTGAGGATCAATTTATGACAGTAGGATGGGACAGGGACTGTGGGATGGGATAGAGACTGTGGGGCTGGGATAGGGACTGTAGGATGGGATAGGGACTGTGGGGCTGGGATAGGGACTATGGGGCTGGGATAGGGACTATGGGGCTGGGATAGGGACCTTAGGATGGGATAGGGACCTTAGGATGGGATAGGGACTGTATGATGGGACAGAGACTGTCGGATGCAATAGGAATTGTACGATGCAGTAGGTATTGTAGGATGGGACCGGGACTCCAAACCCCGCTAATCCCGGCCCGCCTTTCTCCGCCCTGTCCAATCACAGCCGCCCTTTCAACCCGGCCGGGCCCCTCAGCTGCGGGACAAGGCAGAGCCGCGGTCCCGCTGCCGCAGCCCCGGCAGGTGCTGTCGGAGCCCGGGAAGGGCTGGCGAGGGCTCTCCGGTCACATCCCGGCAGAGTTCCCCCGCGGGAAGGAGCGGGCGGTGGGGAGCGGGCAGAGCCGGCCCCTCCGAGCAGCGGCGGCAGCGGGAGCGGGGCCTGAGGGGACAGTGAGGTGCGGCAGGACGCGAGAGAGGCGGGAACAGGCGGGCCGCCATTGGCTGGGACGGGCGGTGTCTCGGGCTGGGATTGGCTGGGCTGGACGCGCCGGGGATATAAATACCGTGAACGGGAAAGGCCTGCCGCTAGTACGATGCCGAAAGGTGGGGGTGTCGGTTGTTGTTTCTGCGCGGAATCCGGGAGCGCCGGTGAGCCGCTGCAGGGCTTTCACGGCTGCCGGTGAGCCGGGACCTCTGTGGCTGCTGGGCCGCGGCTTCGGGCGAGCCGTGTCCCGGGTGGTGTGTGTGCTCGGCCCGGCCCCGCTGTGCCCTGTGAGGGTCGGGCAGCAGCGGCGGCCCCGGAGGCTGGTGTGGAGTCTTTGGGGGGAAAATTGTCCCCCGAATGAGGAGTGGGTGGGATGAGGCCCCGAGGGGATCTGGAGCTTAAAGTAATATTAAAATTAGAAGCAATTAAATGGTTTTATTCCATTATTATGTTACTTTTATGTTCTGTTAATACTTTGCATCAGAGTATTTTCTGTCTTCATTCTCATCTTAGATAGTGTTTATTAAATAAAAGTTGTAGGACTGGGGTTGAAACACTGGGGCCACAGGGGACATAAAGCCCTGGGGATGGAGCCAGACCCAACCCACGTGGAGCTGGGATAAATCCCATGGG